ATGTTGGGTGTGGTCTCCATAGGTTCTTGTTGGAGTAGACATAAAGCCTGTCCGAACTCTTCAACCTGACAAGTACCCTGACGCCAATTAGATAAATACCGGCCCGGAACAGCCCCAACGCACCAAAACACATGGCAGTTTCCCAAAATAGNNAAAATACTATATCCTTACTATTGGGGCCTCCAAACCCCCACATCCACAGAGCCGCAAGACTCCATCCCCGCTTTCAAGACCCACCTCTGCAGCCTCCAACTTCAAACTCCGACCAAAAGTCTTTCAACCCTGAAAACTACTATATTATAATATTATAATAGGGTATGTGTAGCGGTTACAGGGATAAAATTGGGATAGGGGAAACTTGCAATACAATGGAAATTACTATATCATAACAGGCTATATATNNATGATAATACTGGGATAATGGAAAATACAGTGGAAACTACTGTATTAGAATATATATACCCACCTGCCACCCAAACAAACCCTCCATCCCACATCCTCAAGGCCAGCCTGCGCGAGTGGGCAGCACGATGTCCAGCACGACCTGGGATAGACCCTATGTTGTTGGCTAGGACTATAGAGAGACATAACCTCTGAATGTTATCCTTACACGGCATGGCGAAAGTAAGAAAGACAAAAGAGTCCTAAGAAAATATTCCCTGTGAGGGGTCTCCCCGCTCGCTGGCCAGCAATTGTCTGAAATGAAGAGATGCGGCTGAGGGCTCAGGATTTAGGCTTTGGCCGTACAACGTCTTAGAACGGGCAAGGGCGACTCGGCTCGCCCAAACACGAGGGACCCCTTTCGAAGGGACTATTAGGCTTATCCCTCCTGACATGCTGATGCCTTTAACCATCGGTCCCATCGCCTTACGACTCCCCGGACCACTGCAAGCCACGGCGCAGCGTAGCTGGCGAAAAAGAATGCCCAGGTCGCCGCATCGGTCTCAGTTGCAAGCTGCGGGGTCTGAGGGATCATGGAAAGAGAGCTCATCTGGCTGGTGTGGTATACGAAGGCCTACATGAGTAGAACATGGAAAAGGGGATTGGGGTGGCACGAGCCTGCAAGGAATGGAGGTAAGTAAGTGTCCAAGCTTCTATAGCAAACAGTTCGTGCTTTGGTTTTTCAGCTGAAATAACGCAGACGGCGCGCATCTTGAGCACCCTGTATGATACCACCAAGTTAAACAAAGAAGACAACCAATTGTTTCGCATGCCTGTTTCACAGGGTAAGTATACATATATATATATATATAACTGGCTTTCGGCTTACAATCGCACTTTCCAGGCTACCCCTAAACCTCCAAGCCCAGGCACTGAGCTCCCCAAAGACAAGGCGATAGCTCTTGCAAAGAAGAGCGCCAGCAGGGACCTTGGGCTTGAGGGTTCAATTTCTGAAAAAGGTGGGGGAGTGGATGCTTGAGCTTCAACGTTTAGGATCCAGGTTCTGTTGGAGTCGGGGTGTATCAATTAGGGCCTCGGGACGTTTCAGTTTTTTTGAGTTTGTGTCCTCTGGGTCTCGGGGAGCGCAGGGGGACTATGAGCTTTGGGAGCAGTTGGGTGGGCTTGGGGTTCCATGCAAGATTTGAGGGAGGTTCTAGTTTCCAGGCTCGAGCCGGCTGGAATTCTTTTGATGCAGCCCCCCGCAGAAGCAGCACATCTGGTCTTGGATGTTTGGCCCTGCAGGGATGCACGAGACTTTGCGAGCACAACTGACAACTGTATGCGGCCATCCTGTTTCCTTGGTAGGGGTTCTAGTCTACTACCCAGACAAAGCTACATAGGAGCTCTGTGTATACACCTTATAGAGCTAAACTTGGGGTGGGCGCCACTGCCGCTAGCCAGCGGTCGAGCTTCAGCCTCACCGTATTTCTGTAGCAAACAAGATAAGCGGATGGACAAAAAAAGGGATTCGTGAGCCTACACCTGCTTAAATCTACACCTTTAAAGCTCACCACTCCAGGCGCCGTGCCATATCGCCAGCGCCAGCGCAAATCCCACTCGCCTGCACCGCCCGCGAAATAAAGAACACGAAATGGTTCGGGGGTTCAGGAGGCTAAGCATGCCAAGCCAAAATCTGAACAGGTTTGGATCTACTCAGTGTTAGACGTCAACGTTTTGTGTTTTTAAGCTTTTGGGCTCCGATCTCCTGCTATAGAAGCGCATGCATGAGCCAGCCCTGCTTTGCAAATCCCGTTGATCCTCTACTGAGCCACCATCTGTGTAAACAAAAGTGATGGTATTCCGTGCATGATTGGCCCTCAAAATTTCCTTTACCTGACCCCAAGCCGTTGTGAAGAAAACGGCCAAGCCACCAATCCGCAACTCCAAGCCCTTAACACACAATCTTCAGTGATGAATTCCCTAAGGCCTCCATCCTGAATCCTATGGACCCGCCACTGAAGCCCATGAGATGCTAGCTTTTGGGCACTACCTCCCCTGGACTATTGGCCTGCGGTTAAGGGCGGGGGACTTGGCAAGCACTCAATTCCGCCGGGGCGCTGAAGCTCCTCTGGTATGAGGCCGCCTACAGTCAAGCCAAGTACCGCGCGCAGGTCCTCTCCTCTCAGGCATTTTGGACTAAGGCTAAGGGTTTCAGGGGTGTAGGGGGTGTAGGGATGTAGAGGTTCAGAGAGGACGTGGAGGGAATCCAGGGCTTGGGGTTTCAGGTTGCAAGGGTTCGGTTTGTCAGTGGACGTGCAGGGCTTCCCCTGCTCGGCAAACGTTTAGTTGCAGTCTACTCGGACAGGCCCCGTAGAAAAGGTGCATAGTTGTCCTGATGTTCAGACGGTCCTCGAGCTCTCGAAGCCATGCTTCGCCGCCCGCGCTTGTAATACCCATCACATGTGTTCAAGCTTGAGCCCCTAAGCTTTACATAGCGAAGAACATTCAACTCATAAACGCAAAGCTCTGAAAGCCCTAAACTCAACCATCGAAGCACCAAAATCTTGCTATGGTAAATCGCCAACTACTCTTCACATTGAACCGCCCGCCCTGTTCCTGCAGCCAGCCACCGCCGCCGGAGCACTGCCGAGGGCGCAAGGTCACCCCCAGTGCCCGAAGGCTGCACCCTTGGCAAGACGAAGCTTTCAGGATGCGTGGTGTAAGCATGCTTCAGAGACCTGTAGTGCAGAGGGTCCTCAAACACAAGCTGCCCAATCCCACTTCACCTGAGCCCACATGCATCAAAACTTCGTCTTGGGGGGCTGAATGGGGCTGATAGCATCAGGCATCAAAGCTGCTGTCGGCCTCAAAAATGACGGGCTTGTGGCCCATAGACACAAGGACTTGCATTCAAGCCTTCCTACCGGAGCAGAAAGCCTCTTTTTAACAATTCAAGTTCTAAGCCTGTTGTTGGCCATTTACATCTGTGTATATGTACACACATGTATCTCAGTCCAAATTTAACAAACAGGTGACAGGGACAGCAAGGAGGTCAAGCCAAAGGCTCAGAAACTCATAGCTCTATCACGCGACATCTTTCAATGCAACTTATGCGAACCTCGCATAGCCACACTTCTTCCTTACATACCGCAACCCTGGCCAAAAAAAAAAACATGACAAGTGAACGCTTGCAAAGCCTCAAGTGCCTGCACCCGGAATGCCTAACTGAGCGGACAAAATGCGGCGCGGAGAGATCCCACCCCTGCGCCACCGCCTTGCAGCAGCCAAGGGGAAAGGCGGGCTGCAAAAGGATGTCAGGTCTACAAATGTCTGGTGGAGAGCGCAAGGGAATTGGGGTTGAAGGATTTCAGTGTCTGAGGCCTGCACGTCAGAGTGGGCGAGCTAGGTATCTGGCATTTCGGGTCAGGCTACTTCGGATGGAAGCCGATGGGCTGAGAGGTTATGCTCCAAGGGCGGTTGAGTAACAGTGTGTGTGCGAGCTGCTGGGATTGTCTGGAACCTTCCGATTAGGCAACTTGTCAGAAGGAACCTTCCAAGCCCTGTGCAATGATCAGCCTGTCACAGAGCTCAAGTTTTGGTCACCAATTGCTACCATGCGCTGCTATTCGGTCTATCTAGGACCCCTACGTCTTCTATCCAAACTGAGTGAGAGCTTCACAAGCAACCCATACAGAATCCCTTAAAATGAGCCACGGTGATCCATCAGAATTGCCCATATATATATATATACATATATACGTTTAGTCCCCAAAGGTTCCCGATTTCAGAACCCCCTCCCACCTCACGGCCAGAGGCATCACTGCCTGCTGCTTCTACAGCGGCTCTGCCAGCCTGCATCGGATGTCAGGTTCTACCCTGCGTGGGGCTTCTAAGAACAGGAAGTGAAGGCATTGTGTGCTTGCTATGAAGCACCATTTCGGTGAGGTCACACAAGTTTGGCTAGTTCAGGACTAACCATGCATCCTATGTGGATGTTCATGGGTAGCAAAATGAGGTTTAAAGGTTTAGTGTATCAGGGTCTGGAAGTTGTGGTTTGCTTGGAGGTTTATGAGCGCTTCAACCAGCTAGCGATTGTTACTGTCGATATGTGGTACCCAAGGTACAACGCAGAAGATGTGGATGCGTGTGGGGGTGTATGCGTATATGTATATATGTACATGCATGTGTTCATGGTAGAAATGAATGAAGATGCAGATGCAGTTGAACAGCTAAGGTGAGTTGCAGGCTTGTGGCTGGGCGATGACCATAGTGACCTCAAGTAGGGGGGTGCCCAAATAAGCCCCTCTGCTGACCCTCATCTAGCCGAGCTTAACAAAAAGCGCCTGCAAACCAGGTCTGGCATAGAAGGACTCAACTGCCATCACAAGCTTCAGACACACTTTAGACAGACGGTTGAGCTTGTTTTTGGGGCTCACGCAGTTTAGATGACCGATGCGGCAACTTTAGCCAACAACTGCTGAAGATGGACAAGCGGCTGTGGACTCTGCTGAGGTATGGATGTCTCAGGATGACGCTCGCAAGTGGCCACACGCAAGTGTTCTCACACGTAAAGTTGCTTTCTAATTTAGGATCCATCTCGCAGATTGGCTTCCCATGTGTTAGAGCGCAACCTGATCCAGCATAGGTAGTGCGGGTAGACCGTCTTGCTGCAAGTGCTGGACCCCGGAGATGTATTCGTGCAGCCTGCTGTTCTCGAGACGAGCCTTCTCCAAAACATGGTTGGCCTTGAGTTCCTCCACTTGCCGCAAAGTGGCAAGTCTCTCTTCCAGCTGCCCTCGCTGCGCCGCACGTCTGGCCGCATTCTGTGCATTGATTATTCTACGAGCCCTCTGATGTCCATCGCCGTCTAGCCTTTTCAGAAACTGCTGGTTCCCGGTCGTCTCATAGAGTGCTGCGCGAGTTTGCTCGGCATTGTCCGGGCTAAGGTCTAGGGCTAATCGAGCGGGCCGTGCCTTTCGGAGCAGCCCAGCATTAAGCATGTTTCTTAAAACGTCTTTGCAAATAGACGTAGTATGAATGTTTAACTTCTGAGAGCCCTGATTGCGGCAGGCTGTCACGCTCAGATGTACGCCCATCTCGCTGTTCACAAACTTGCACAGGCATGTCAAGACGGTGCCAAATTTCTGCGCAATGCTAAGCTTAAGGGCCGCTTTTCCAATTTGATGTATACTTCCTTCAGCATCGAAGAAACCTGCGACATACTCCCATGTGCATGAGCTCTCGACAGCAGAGTCGCATCGCTTCAGTGTTTTAAGTTCCTGGAGCAATGGCGGCATGCGCGAGGGGCGCTGGGATAAGTTGACGCCTAGTTCAAGTTGCTTCCTTTTGACAATGCTGTGCCGAGCCAGATACTGGGCAGCCTGGCGGGCGTTGCAGCCCGCTACCCGCCAATAAAGCATCGGCTTGTGAAGACCAAGCCCGTCACCCTTCCGATATATCCCACCACCGAAGGCAGACTGGAAACGAAGTAGACCCGCTGCAGCATCGAATGTTTGCGCTACCTGGATGTACAGGGTTCCCCTGTCCATGACGCAGCTCCCATCACCGTCAAAGAGCCCTGCCAAATATTGCAGCTCGGCAGTGGAGCTTGGACTGCAAGTAGCAGATTGCCCGTGCGGGTTCCAGGGCAATGTATACCTGCAACGATTTGCCACAAAAAAACTCAACGGCGGCCACTGCATTGTTTGAAGCTTGGCATGCAGCCGCACGTTCTTCCCCAACAGCGCTTCGAGTGAGTCATCTGGTGCTGCCACATCGAGCACAACAGGCCTGTCTGCCATAGGCTCAGCAGCAGGTCTGTCTTGGCCTAGCGTTCTGCATGTGGAGGATGCGTAGCGCTGGCCAGCCGGAATCAGGACTCTACCAATGGCCCCACTGTGCCGAAACGACCAGAAGGACCTCTGTGCAAAGCTGGAGACAGCGCGGCATTCCTGGAACATGTTGTCTCAGTTGGATACCAGTACAGTACCACAGTGCCTGTGTGCCTGAAAGGATACCGGTCGCAAGATGGAGCGCTGCTTCTGCGGTTAGTCACATACATCAAGGCAAGTTTTCAGAAAACTTTCTCTCACCATGTCAAGCTTTCTGGACACGACCCTCTTTCGCCTGCGATGAAGTGGGGCCAGCGCGGTCTAAGCTAGCACAGGAGAAAACGTAGACTGACAAACACAGGTTTAGACACATTGGATAAGCATGTTTGCACGTATGCCCCACTAGCTTCCCTGATGGCATGTCCATACATGAACTTGCCCTGCCTTAATCGCCATTGATCCCAGATCTGTGACTCGATCCTCCTGCAAGTATCGCTGTCTGTACCAATTAGGGCATCATGTCTTGCTACATGAACCTGCCAGCAGCTGGCCAAAGGTGCACGAGGCCACAAACAAAAAAGATAACTAGGCAAATGGGTAAAATTGAGTGGGGGCCAACCGCACAGCAATTATTTTTGGATTTCAGGTTACTGATTTTATGGGTATTTGGGAGGTCTGGGCACTTCAAGTCAGACATTAAGATTAAAAGCTTCACACCCCCTAGCCCCACTCCATTCCCGCGGCGGTAACTGGTGCTCAAGGGGGAGTGGGGGAGCGAACATAGGGACCGTGGTAGTGGTACGCATGTGGGTTATACAGTGGTTGTAAGGATCCACTCCCACTCTCCCTTGAGCATCAGTAAACCATCCCCTGTCGCGTACTCATGAGATCTAGCTCCTTCTCTGCAGCCTTTTGCGCCAAGGTGCGCGCCACCTCTGGCGGCGGTGGCGTTCCTGAGCAGTGGCAGGAAAGATCTTGAAAAGCGCGACATGTCATCAGTTTCAAGACCTGTCTCATTCAGATCCGTTCCAAGATATGCCTGTTGAACGTCCTCGATTTATAGAATGAGCTCTGGCATCACTGCTTTAAACGAGTGATGCCAGCCCATGCGGATGCTACGGTGGCCCTGTTCGTGCACCAGCGCTTGTACCTTTTTGGCCATCTCCTGCTCAGGGGCCCTTAGCCTCACAGACACTGGGGGTTAGTAGGACTAAGGGGATATACTATGTGGGGAAATTTGGAGATTATATTGCCTTATTCCCTGCTAACCCTCTGCAAGCTTAGACACGGTCTGCAAATCCACATAACTGGCCACCTAAAGAAGTACAGCACGAAATGCCATATTGCCTGGAATTCTTGACCCCTGTACGAAGATCCCAACCAAGCAAGAAGCCCGAAGTCGACAATGGGAGAAACATGCGTGAAACATGCCTGTTTATGGCTTGAATGATTTTTCAAAATTCTGCAACATGCCGAAATTTCCTGCAAGCTAATGCTGGGGGCCCCTAGCCTGTAACTTGTCTTTCCAAGAGCGAGCCCTCAACACTAGCCGGAAACCAAGGAGGCGATCGCTCAACGCACAGTAAGCATGTCCTGGAAATGGTGGTTTGAAGGAGAAACACAGTAGACAGCTAGAACAGCCAAATGCCGCGCTCATTCCGTTTCAAGAACAATCAGCCTGGACTTGCAACGCGGGGCGATTTTCAAGCTTCTGGTTCATGCGAAGCTGAGGCTTACAGCCTTCACTCCCCACAAGAAGGCAATCCAAATCCTCAAGCGCTAAGCTTACCGGTGTTTGGTGGGAAATAAGGGAATATAACCCCTGAATAACCCCTATATAATGCATTCCCTTAACCCTATAGACACTCCCTTATTCCCTACTAGCCCTCAGCAACAAATGGTACGCCAGGGCGCGCAGGGACGGCTTCTTTCGGCCATACCAGCTCCAGGGTCCCTCTTCCACACCATCCTCGCGCATGCGGCTGAAGTTGGTCAACTACAGCATGAGCTTTGCGCTGCGCTGCGTATCAAGTTCTTGGTCCCATATGTAGCAATCACTTGATGGCCCCGGACCGCAACCTGTAGTTCTGAGAACGCGCCAGCTAGGGGAACAGTTAGCGTGTAAAGCCTTGCTCATGACTGGCCTCAAGCCCAGGCTGCAAAAGGGGGGGCAATCCACCTTCAACATGGTGTAAGAAGCGTTTGAACATGCGTGGACAGTTCCAGAGAGCTCAAGCAAACAATCTGTGCAAACCAAGAATACACAACAACAAGACATGTCGCCGTTCAAACTTTTCAGTTGCACAGAAGTACCCACGTAGAATCTATCAAAATCGCACAGTACTGATTGCCCATGCACCACCAGTCCTGGCGCCAGTTCCCAGCTATGAAGTTGCCCTCGCGACTCCTTAGCTCCAATCGTCATGAAGCTCTAGCTCCAACCCATTGGCAGGCCCTAAACCGTAAACCTGAACCCTCAACCCTGACCCCCCAACCCTGACCAAAACCCTAACCCCAACTTGAAGAGGCATCACAAGTTGTACTGCATGAGCTCTAGGGAGGCCCGCCTCCGCTGGGAGTCGCTTCTGGTCCCTATGGATTGAACCTTCATATTGAGCTACAGTCAATATTGCCCGAATAAAGCTGATGGAAAAGGAAATGGAAACTAGTGTGATGGACAATAAAATAGAAAAGAAAATGGAGCATGATATTACGAAACTGTGGGTATATAGAGGATTATCAAAGGGCCCCTATGTCCACCGTTGATGGTCCCTTGGTAAGCCTAATATTTATGGTACCTCATATTGAATACCCTATCAAAAGGAGTCTCTGGCTCTAAACAGCTTGTGTCCAACATGTACAAGTCCGCGTACTCTGCAGCAAGCGGGGTGTCCTGCTGGGAGGTTCCGAGGGCAGTCTGACCCAAGTGTAACCGTAGCTACAGTCCAATTATAACTATAACTCTACTCGGGTGTATAGGGAGGGTATACTTGGGTTAGAAGTAAAGGCGTTTATAGTTATAGGTCATGGTTACCCTGAACCTCCAAGTAGCAAGCAGCCGAGGAGCACCAGCCACTTGCCACTGCCCGTGGCACCCGCCGAGTTCGCCCAGCGGAAGTCCGCGACGACCAGGGAGCCTTCATGCTTGTGGATGTTCTTCGAGACTGGGTGGGCAACGGGAAGCGATTCCTGTAGTGCCTCTTTGGGGATCCGTCTCTTGGCGAGGTGCCCATGACAATCACATGTTGGGAAGCAAGGTTCACAGGATTGGCAAAGATGGGTGTCAAGCTTTGGAGTTGCAAGCTTGGCATTTTGGTCCTAAAAGTTCAACGGAATCTTTTAAACGCAGTGTTGTTGCTGACTTCCATATGTTCTGCCCAAAACCTAGAATCGAATTCCCACTTCTGCAGCTTTCCGCCTCCTGGGTAGGGTTTAGGCTTTAGGCTTCACTTCATTCCGTGAGCCGTGCCTGCACAGCACGATGAAGTCTTGCCTCGGCTCCTGAAGCCTGAAACCCTAATTGAGAATCAAAACCTTCAGACTCTCGTCTGAAGCTCTAGACCTGTGCATGGAACAGCATGCAACTCCATAACCCATTTTGCAGATATGAGACCTGCGCCGACTTTTTCTTACAAAAAAATCTTGCACCTTCCCGGCGCCGCTCAATGTCCAGGATATCATGCCGGCCGCCGTCGGCCGTGTAAGATCCTGACAGCGAGTCTCTGCACCCAAGATCTCGGGCACCCAGCAGGCAAAGACCCTCCACTTCAGAGAACCTTTAGAGCCCAATACATCATCATCAAGCAATGTTCCTTAGTTTAGGTGGCGATCGAATATCATGACAGTAAGGATGTAAGTTCCCTAGTTGAAGTCCTTAATTTAGGCTGCCTGGGAATCTCTTCGAGGATTGTTGACTCAATCGTCGTATTTATCAGGGGTCCTGGAAGGGGATGCTTGTGGGGAAGCAATCTCCCAGTCATGGTCGAGCACCAATAATACGGCACGGCAAATGCAACAAGCTGAAAACAGGTTGAGAATGCATCAGGTTCGGATGTAGCACTCCGGCTCAACTGGGCTAGTGCTAGTTCTTCATCCCTGCTATGTCCAGTTAAGCTCCAAAGTCCCTTCAAGTACCATAATGGGTATAAATAGTAACTATTATGGTTTCCCCAAGATCCACGGTGTAATTACGCCGTTGAAGTTTTAGGAGCCTCTATGAATTGAAGCCCCAAACCCTAACCCCTAAATCCCAAACCCTAATCCACCCCTTGACGACAGAGCTGGCGCGACGTCTCCTGAGGCGCCTCGAAGCCGCATCGGAACAAAGATCACGTTGCCTGGGGCATGGCTTGACTTTTAGAATTCAGGTTTCAGGGCTTGAGATAATTTACTAGGCTTCGGGAATTAGAGTCTGCTTATGGCTGCTCTTCTTGTTCCCCTAGTATGGGTTGTAATTGGGCTGCAAGCCCGATCATGAGTCCCCTAACTCTCCGAGTATAGAAATAGTCTCGGAACCGGTTATCAGCCCCTGAAACCCCCTGGAGTTGACTATCAATTATGGTCATATCTGAGCTGCAACGCTACACCCATGTTTGCTTAAAATATGCTTTCAGGGAATCTCAAGGCAAGTACGCACGTCGGCTTGGGCAAAACAAAGACTCATGTGCTCAGAGCGGTCTAGACCATGTTGGCAATCAGCGTTCAACTCTCAGAGATGGCGTAGCGCAGAATTTTATGTGTGAACACGCCTCGCCCGGTCTCCTGGCGCTGCGCATGGAATCTGTGTAGAAAACAATGCTACACATCAGTTACATCACCAGCCCCTGACTCTTCATTGCAGAGCCACTAAGCGGAAAGCCCACGACTATCCTGCAACACTGAACCCAGTTGCCATTCCGGTAGTAGTCGCAGGCGCACTCCCACTCTCCGTCAATTGCCTCAGCTTCCCAGTCTCCGCGAAGCTGAAGTTTGAGGTGCATACTGTAATCTGTATCATTACTATCAATACTATTCTTAGTGTTATTATTACTATGACTACTGCTACCATTATTAGTATTGTTGTTTTTTTTATCTTGGTTAAAAGAGGGCGGAGCTACAAGCCTTACTCTGTCTCATCTGATAGGCTTCTA